GCTGGAAGACTGGAGTGGCCAGGTCTCTAAGCCCCTTCCTTCCCCCGCCGAACCAGGCGAGGGGCCCTGAATCTGGAAGGTGTGGGAGCCGGGTAGCCGAGGCCTCATTCATCACCTATGTCAGTGGCTTTCAAACGTATTGTTAACAGCGGAACATTATGTTCAGATGATGATTTACATGGAAGCCTGATCTACAAAAGACCAGGGAAAGGAGGGAAGAGGGCAGCCAGGGACAGGACAGAGGACACACTGGAGAAGCCTGGAAAGAAGACTCTCCCCTCCTCTCATCTAAGACTGCAGAAGTGGGGCCCAAAGCTCGGACACCAAAATGCCCTGCCTGGACAAGAGTGAACGCTTGCCTTGGATGGTAGAGCATGGAGGCTGAGTTCATTTGGGGACTTTGCTCTATAGATAAAGAGTGTTTCGCTTTGTAACTCAAGGCCAGAGCTCTAATCCCTTTCCTATCTTGGGTTAAACAGCTCAGATTGGTGACCTTCTTTCCAGGTAACCCGAGTGCCAAACTCCAGGAGATTTTCCCTGAGTGTGGCCCTGAGCAGAGCTCACAAACTCCAGAACAGAGCAAGAAGGGGATTATGGACTGTCTGGCCCAGTGGCTCACTTTAAACTCTGATGCCAGGACCCTAAATCAGATCCTCTGTGGGTGAGGCCCCAGCATCAGTGTTTTAAAAATGCTCCCCCAGGTGATTCTGAGATGCACTCATCCAGTCACCTTAGTTTTCTGAGGCCCAGAGAGGCAGTGATTGCCAGAGCCACAAAGAAAGTTTGTAGTAGGACTAGAGGCCCTCAGCACATTCAGAAAGTGACGGAGAGTCCTACAATACTGAGGATTGAAGCCAAGAGAAAAGAAGCGAGAGAGGATTGAAAGGAAGATGGAAAGGGGCAGAGGGAGAAGGAGAAGATGTGGTGAGAAGTGTGTGCTCTGATGGCCTGGAGACTTCAGGAATTCACAGTTAGCGAGGGACTCAAGGGTCTTTCTCTCACATTTCACTGAGGGAAGACTGGAGCACAAAGTCAGACCAAGACTTGGTTGGAAAGACATCAGTTTGGAGACATCAGTTTGTTAGCACCCAAGATTTCTGGAGATTGGCTGTGCCTCAGGCTGGTCAGAAGCCAGCCTGAGAGGGTGGCTTGAGTCTCTTTCTCTTTGATAAGCCTTAGAATTGGTTTCTCTGCCACACATCTTTGGACTTTTCATCAATACTTTGCAAATGTTGATCATAACCATAGTAGCCACAGTGGTGGCAAGGCCACTGGACTGGCGGTTGTTGTTGTTTTCCGTAGAGTCGGACCCGACTCATAGCGACCCCTCCTTGGGTTTCCGAGGCAGTATCACTACAGAAGTAGATTGCCCCATCTTCCTTCCGAGGAGTGGCTGGTGGATTTGAACCGCCAGCCTTCTTGTTAGCAGTCAAGTGCCGTAGCCACTATGCTACCAGAGCTCCTGGACTGGCGGTTAGACAAGCCTTATTTTCAGTCCTAGTTGCCAGGGAGATAGCAACTAAACCTCTCTGGCTCCAGTTTCCCCCTCTTTAAAATGAGATTTCTCCTGGGACTAAATGAGAGGATGCACACGAGAGAGAAGGGGACACAGAGGTGAGAATCCAGCAAAAAGAGTAGTTGCAGATAGGAGCACTTAGGTTAACTACTCAAGGGAAGACTATTCAGTGTCCAGAGATTCCAGCAGCTCATGCTTCTGGCTACTGCCAGCCTTGTGTGTTACCTCTGTATAGGGTTCTCGAATGAGAATCTAAGAAGATTCTTTTTCTGTCTGGGATAGAAGGGAAATCTCAGGTTTTCAGCAGTAAGGATTTCCTGGAGTGAACCAGGAGTATGGACAGGCTCATATTAGAATATCAAAAAGAAAAAATAAAGGAAAGGAAAGGAAGTAATCAAAAGACATGGGTTCCTAGTCTTAGATCTGCTGCCAGCCTGCCATGTGTCCAGAGGCAAGTCACCACTTTATAGTGGCGGTCCCCAGTGGTTGTGTTTTTGCAGTGATGAAGGTGTTGCTTTTTTGCAACCATCAGCACACATGGATCCCCTTTAGTAAAATAGAGCTTATGGCTCTTCCCTGCCAACTGTGCAAGGCTGTCATGAGGCTCATTTATTCTAACTTACCTGGAACCTCTGTGGGCACAAAGAAACGATGCCTCAGGACTTCACAGTGTGGTAAGCAAGGCAAACAGGCAGTTCAGTCAGGATGATGGTGAGAGGATGCTGCACCTGGCTGGGGGCTAGGAAAGGCTACCCAGAGGAAGCAATTTTAGCTGGGACCTGAAGGGTCACCACGATCCTTGGCCAGGTGAGGGCAGAATGTGGCCTAATTCAAACCAAAACCAAACCCACTGTCATCAAGTCAATTCCAACTCATAGTGACCCTATAGGACAGTGGAGAACTTCCCCATAGGGTTTCCAAGGCTGTCAACTTTATGGAAGCAGAGTGCTACATCTTTCTCCCACAGAGCAGCTGGTGGGTTTGAACCACCAAGATGTCAGTTAGCAGCTCTTAACCACTGTACCACCAGGGCTTCTTATGACCTAATCCCCCCTTCCCTGAAAAAAATAAAACCCATTGCCATAGAGTAGATTTCAACTCATAGTGACCCAATAGCATAGAGTAGAAGACATATAGGGTTTCTAAGTCTGTAAATCTTTTTTTTTTTTCTTTTTATTGTGATTTGGGTGAAAATTTACAGAGCAAATACACTTTCCATACAGCAGTTCACATACACTTTGTCTCATGACATTGACCACAATTTACCATAATGCAACATCTCCCCTCTTACTTCCTCCCAGTAGTTACCTCTTCCCTGTGTCCATCCCTCTGTGCACTCCTGCCCCCTGAGCTGTCTCCCTGTGCATAAGCAGCCCTTCTTTCTCCCATGCTTGTTCTCTCCAAGGAGTGTGTCTACCTCTGGTAAATATTCAACTCATATGCCTGTCTATTATTTGGCTGGAAGCTACAGGCGTGTGTTCAATTCCAGACCTGAAGGGCAGCTAGGGGCCATAGTCTCAGTGGTTCCCCCAGGCTCTATCAGGCCAGCAAACCTGGTCCCCACCCCCTTTTTTTTCCCCAAATGATTTTGAGTTTTGTTCCATATTGTTCTCCCTGTCTATCCAGGATCTCCTACATAGATCCTCTTCCAAGTGATTGACAGTAGTAGCTGGGCACCATCTAGTTCTTCTGGTCTCAGTCATATAGGCTGCAGATCGGATAGTGTACCAGTCCCTAGGACTAATTGTTTCCATGAATTTTTGATTTTCTTCATTCTTCTTGGCTCTGGATGAGGGGAGACCCATCGTTGCATCTAGATGGCAGCTCGCAAGCTTTTAAGATCCTAGTCGCTACTCGTCACAGTAGGAGGTGGAACAAGGTTTTGTGTAGTATATTATGCCAATTGAGCTTGATGTCCTCTGCGACTATGGTCCCGAGCCATGTACAGGTTCAACTATTCGGTTCCTCTGGGTAGTTGGCTGTGACCAAACAGTGACTACAACCTTGCCCCTTGTCAGCTCCACTATACACCTGGGAATTCAGATCATACACATAAAGTTATAGGACCATTATCTGCCAGTCCTATACATGTTCTTGGGTACACTCTCATAAACATACCTAATAGTTCCTAAGTCTGTAAATCTTTACAGAAGCAGACTGCCATATCTTTCTCCTGTGGAGTTGTTGGTGGGTTTGAACTGCTGACTTTTCAGATCACAGCCGAGAGCTTTAACCATTGCACCACCACCAGGACTCAGTAGCCTAATTAAAAAAAACAAAACAAACCCACTGCCATCGAGTCAATTCCAACTTAGCAACCCCCAGTGGGTATCTGAGGCAGTAAATCTTTATAGAAGTAGATTGCCCAGTCTTGCTTCTGCTGAGTGGGTGGCAGGCTTGAACCACCAGCCTTCTGGTTAGCAGTCAGATGCCTTAGGCACTGTGCTACCAGAGCTCCTTAGTAGCTTAATTGTTATGTGCTGTCGAGTCGGACCCAACTCATAGCGACCCCTCCTTGGGTTTCCGAGGTGGTATCACTACGGAAGTAGATTGCCTAACCTTCCTTCCGAGGAGTGACTGGTAGGTTTGAACTGCCAGCCTTCTGGTTAGCAGTGAAGTGCCTTAGGCACTGTGCTACCAGAGCTCCCAGTAGCATAATTAGGGGTAGTTAAATGAAACAAATCAGTTGCTATCAAGTTGACTCTGATTCATGGTAACCTCGTGTGTTTTGGAGTAGAACTATGCTCCATAGTGTTTTCAGCAGCTGACTGTTTGGAAGGAGATCACCAGGGTGGATTTGAACCGCCAACCTTTTGGTTAGCAGTTGAGTGCATTAGCCATTTCCATCACCCAGTGACTCCAGCAGTAGTTAGAATTCTGCAACTCTCAGGAAGAGGTTGATGCTTCACAAATGGGCACTTCCCGGTTATTGCTGGAGAACTACTGCCCAAACACCCTGGTGCCTCCTCGGCAGCTTCCCCAGTTAGACTGAGTTGCTGCAAAAAGAACTTTTTGACTGAACTTGGAGCAGGTTTTGGAGACCCAATTTCCCTGGGAACCACAGCCCTAACCCCAGCCTCCTCTGACTTGACCCAAGGTGGTTTAGGGTTCTGGCAAAGATATGGGGAGAAGGCTGGCACAGAGGAAAGACAAGAGGTAGGTGTGGAGCATGTAGGAACAAGGTTCCAGGTTGGAGTGGAGGCATAGGGGAGAGCGAGCAGGGTTGTCCTATCCCGGGCGGCCCTGTGTGTGTGCTTAGGAGGCTAACCTAGGTGCAGCATGGGTGCAGCTGGGGACAGAGGGCAGAGATTCTGCTATAGAAGGAAGGAGAGGACAGGACTCATTGTCTTCTATCAGGCTGTTTCAGATAGGGGGTGGGAGGCCCCCTACCTCTCCCTGGAGACTTCTCAGCACCTATGCCTCCCTCCCTGCATCTCATGTGTGATCTCTCCCTCCTCCCTCCCTCCTGTTCCTCTCCTTGCAGCACCCCCTGTCAAAGAGAAAAGGAAACCATCAGAGGGGGATGACCCCCAGGACCTGTCTGTGTCCCCTAAACCCGATGGTGAGCAGAGTAGGAGCCAGAGCCCCATCCAGCTGGAGGTGAGTTGGGCGACTCCCCTCAAGACCCTCCTTCATGCCCTCCCCTCAGCCTTCCAGGTGAACTGGGGAGACTCCCCAAGCTCTAGGGAAGGAGCTTGAAGTGCCCACATGTGATCCCTGCCATTTCTGAAGAGCCAGGAGAGGGGCCGTCTGCGCAGGAGCCTGCATCAGGAGGGCTGGGGGCTGGGAGTCTGACAGTGGGACGACTGGCACATCACCTATGGCAGTGGGTCTCAAACTAGTTTTTTCAAATGAAGATTTATGTGGAACTTTCCTCTGTAAAACAGAAAAGCATGGGTCTATGATGTGAAAGGGAGCTCTGGTAGCATAGTGCCTAAGGCACTTGACTGCTAACCAGAAGGCTGGTGATTCAAGCCCACCAGCCACTCCTCAGAAGGAAGATGGGGCAATCTACTTCCGTAGTGATACTGCCTTGGAAACCCAAGAGGGGTCGCTATGAGTCGGGTCTGACTTGATGGCACATAACAACAACAACAACAACAATGTGATGTGAAAAAGGAACCCTGGTGGCACAGTGGTTAAGGCTCAGCTGCTACCTGAAAGATTGGCAGTACAAATCCACTGGCCACTCCATGGGAGAAAGATGAGGCAGTCTGCTTCCATAGAAACTACAGCCTTGGAAACCCTATGAGGCAGTTCTTCTCTGTCCTATAGGGTTGATAAGCATTGGAAGTGACTCCATAGTGATGGGTGTGACGTGAAACTACATTTACATCCATCCATTCAGATTTGTAACACTGACATACATAGTCACTCAGTGAGATCAAGGAGGCTGTCCTGCCGAGCATGTAAATTGGAAAGGGAGCTGTGGATGGTGTTTGGGAGCTCCTTCAGCCCCCACATCCGGGACACGTTAGCCACAATGTGGAGTCCAAATCCTGACTCAGAAAAGGAGTTGCACAAGATAATGGTTTTTAACAGCTTACCTTGAATTCATAGAAGAGAGAGGAGGGCAAATTCCCTTGAAGAGCAGTAGTGAGAGAGCCTTCGCTCTGAGGACTGTACTAAGCCAGCTTACCTTGGTAACTCAAGTTACAGAGTGATGCTGCTCTCCAATACATTAAAACTGCTATGTAACATGTGAGTCATTATCAGAGTTGTTTCAGTAAGTTAAAAACACTGAAATGGCACTTGAATGAAATATTTTGGGGATATATGGTGCTCTGCAGTGTTCTAGGTCCAGGTGTGGGTTGATTACCTTCTGGGGCTTGGGGTCTTCCCAGAAAGGACCCGGGTGCTATCTGTTCTCAGAACAGGACACTTCCTCAGGCCAGGATCCTGGCCCTGGCCTCCAGCCCCAGCCCATCCGTACTTGTCTGCCCTGAGTGACCAGCTAAATGAATAGCATCCTACAGAAATTGCTGCTCTGGGAGCAGAAACCAAAAGCCCTGTGCATCTGAAAGACCCAGAGCGGAGTTTCACCTCCCTGAATTTAGTAAGGCAGTTGGGCGAGTCAGAGAGGCAGGCCCCACAGAAGAGGCACCCTGGGCTCTGGCCCCACTGGGACAGAGAACAAGAAGCACCTTCCTTCCTTCAGCTTTTACTATGAGGGCCTCTGGGAGGCATGGGGGAAACATGAGTGAGGCCCAAGGCTGCCCTCCAGGAACTCACAGTCTGGTAGAGAAGCTAAGATGCAGATGCAGACAGATCAAGAGCAAGATAAAGCTGTGATGTGTGTCTGCAGAGAGTCCTGGAAAGGGTGTAGGGATGGCTTCTCCAGCTATCTCCGTAACCAGCTTCTCTAGGTTATGGCATCTTTGTGTGGGTCCTTAGCTCAGATCTGGGCTCCTAGGCACTGAAAGCTGACAGCTATGCCTTTCTGGCCCCAGGAGCAGTCACTGCACCCCAGAACAATAGGCTGGGGGGTGGGGGCCTGCTCCTTCCTGTGGGAGCCTGGGGTTGGGGGCCAGGCACCTCATTCTTCCCTAGCAACTGATAGGTACACAGCCACTCCCCGACTGGGGGCCCATCCCAATGCCTGCTGTTCTTTCCCCAGGACTCCCCCGAGGCAGGCGGGGAGCGGGAGGAAGAGCAGGAACGGGAGGAGGAGCAGGCCTTCCTGGTCAGCCTCTACAAGTTCATGAAGGAGCGACACACGCCCATCGAGAGGGTGCCCCATCTTGGCTTCAAGCAGAGTGCGTCCCTGGGGCGGGCAGCAGGGAGGGTGGGCCCAGCAGGGAACCCCCTCCCCAGGCAGGGCATCTGGGCAGATCCTGCCCCAGAGTTGGGCAGGCACCTCTACTGCAGCAATTCAGGATGCTGCCAGCCTAGGCACAGGGTTGGCAAAGCGGCAGAGCTGAACTTCCACCCTCCCTGGCCCTTGGCCACCATTGCACAGGGCACAGCCTGCCATCCACAGCAGTTGCCCTGTCCGGATGTGTGCTGGTCTTGGTTCAGGCCTAATGGCTGATGGGCACAGACTGCTTGCTGCCGCCTCTACCCACAGAGACTGATAGCCTGCCCTGTCCTCTGTTCTCTTCAGTTAACCTGTGGAAGATCTATAAGGCCGTGGAGAAACTGGGGGCCTATGAGCTGGTAAGGAAGGTATCTCCGAGTCCTCCCCATGCTGCATGTCCCAGGCACATGCCCACAGTGCTCCAGGGGAGCTGCTGGAGGGGATGAGACCAACAGAGGTTGGGCAGACAAATTTGGGAAGAGCCAGGCTCTGGTCACTAAAATCTCAGATCCCCACTCCCACCCCTCCCTGAGCTCTCCTGCTTGCTAGTAGTTTGCTGCTCAAAGCAGGTTTTTCTCTATTCCCACATCTGTTCTGCCCTCCCTGAGCTCAAAAAGGTGCTTGGGCTAGCAGTCAAGCAGCCCTGGCCTGGGGTGAACTGGCCAGGTGCCCAGTGAGCCCGCCATCCCCTACTGCCAGAGAAGCAGCTGAGGAAGTACACTCACTCCCTGCCCCACCCGCACCTCTTCACCCAAGGTGGCCCGAGTGTGCGGACCTAGAGTGGGGAGCCCCAGCCACCAGGGGGTGCCACTGGCCATGCCTCTTATGTAATGCCATTGCAGGTGACTGGCCGACGCCTCTGGAAGAATGTGTATGACGAGTTGGGGGGCAGCCCGGGCAGCACCAGTGCAGCCACGTGCACACGCCGCCACTATGAGAGGTAGGGCTGGGGGCCAGGGTGGAGGGGCCTTCCCTGGGTTTATGGACATCTGGGCAGTCACCTCTCAGGGGCCTGGCAGAGCTTGCAGTGGAAGTGGGAGTAGAATATACCTATGTGGACACGGGCAGGGAGGCAGGATGTTTGCGACCACAGAGCCCTTTCAGCAGAGGTGGGGTGTTGTGTTCATTCACTCTGTCCCGGTTATGGCCCGGAGCTCCAGCCAGGCCGTGGGATTCCTGGACAAGGTGAGGAAGAGCATGAGCCCAGGCTGTAGGTTTGCTGTGTATACTCGTCAGAGGAGTGGATGGCTTTTGAGTCAGAGAGGGAGAGTTCTGATAGGTTTTCTGGTGGTGGGGAGGGAGGCCAGGCAGCAGCAGGAGGTGTAGGTGGGTGCCCACAGGCCCTGGCCCTGTGGTAGTCATGTCTGGCTCCTCCCCAGGCTGGTTCTCCCATACGTACGGCACCTGAAGGGAGAGGATGACAAGCCACTGCCCCCCTCCAAGCCCAGGAAGCAGTACAAGATGCCCAAGGAGCCACGGGTAGATGACGGGGCCACAGAGAAGCTGAAGAAGGCCAAAGAGGAGAGGCAGGTAGACCAGGTGAGCACTGAGCCCAGCTGGGCTGGGGACTTACCCTGGGCCACCCTGTCCCCTGCCTGCCTTTGCTGTACCAGCAGAGTTCTCTGCTGGAACCCCAGAACGCACCCAGAGGCCAGCACCTGCAGGGCACTCCAGGGCCTCTTCCCGTGTTTGTGCAAAAGTTGTTCACTGCTGAAGGGCCCTCAAGTGAGGGGATGTGTGGGGTGTTAAATACAGCCTGCATCCCTCTCCCTAGGCCCCATGTCTTAACAGAAAAGTTCTGCACAAAGGCACTATAAGGGCTAGCAGTGGCCCCTGATACCCCTCTAGGTGTCCCCACAGGATGCCTGGTTCACCCCCAGCCTAAGGCATGGTCCTTTCTTGTTCTAGATGATGCCTGGAAAGACCAAGACAGATACTGCCGACCTAGCTCAGCTCCCCAGCCAGGAGCCCCCCAGGGACAGTGCTGAACAGCCAGGCCCAGCCCCTGCGCCCACTCTGCCTATCGTTGGGGCCAGCTGTTGCCCTGAGGCTTACAAGCGACTTCTGTCCAGCTTCTACTGCAAAGGGACACATGGTATCATGTCACCACTGGCCAAGAAGAAGCTCCTGGCCCAGGTGAGCAAGGCAGAGGCCTTGCAGTGCCAGGAGGAGGGCTGTCGCCATGGGGCGGGTGGCCCTGACAGGGAGCCCCACGGGTCCCCAGCTGCTTGCCCCCCAGAGAGTCCTCGGAGCCCAGGAGGGCCGACTGAGAACTCCAGGCACAGACTGACTCCTCAGGAGGGATTGCAGGCCCCTGGGGGAAGCCTCAGGGAAGAGGCTCAGGGAGGCCCCATCTTCACGGGCTATTTCCATGCCTACCCTACTGAGGTGTTGAAGCCTATCAGCCAGCACCCCCGGGACTTCTTGCCCAGCCTTAAAGATGGGATGCTGCTGGGGCCATCTGGCAAAGAGGCTGGGCTGCCAGCCAAAGAGCCCCAGCTGGTGTGGGGTGGCGATGTCAACCGTCCCTCTGCATTCCACAAAGGTGGCTTCAGAAAGGGCAGCCCCTACCCCAAGCCCAAAGCCTGTTGGGTGTCGCCCATGGCCAAGGTCCCTGCCAAGAGCCCAGTGCCCCCACCTGCCTTCCCCAGCAGCCCAGGCCTCGGCAGCAAGCGCAGCCTGGAAGAAGAAGGCTTTGCCCATGGTGGCAAAAAACTGCGGGCAGTGTCTCCCTTTCTCAAGGAGGTGGATGCAAAGGAGTGTGGGGCCAAACCCACAGGGCCAGGCTTGGCTGTCTCCTGCCTGCTGGACCCAGCCTTGAGGCCTGCCCCCCAGGAGGCCTACAGGGGCACCATGCTGCGCTATCCACTGAACTTTAACACCTCAGATCCCTTAAAAGGCCAGGGCACTCTTCCCTTCAGCCCTCTGGTCATCCCAGCCTTCCCGGCCCACTTCCTGGCCACTACAGCTCCCTCACCCATGGCTGCTGGCCTGATGCACTTCCCCGCTGCATCCTTCGACAGTGCCCTCCGCCACAGACTCTGCCCAGCCTCATCTGCATGGCACATGCCACCTGCCACAACCTATGCAGCGCCCCACTTTTTCCACCTCAACACCAAGCTGTAGGTTGGAGCCACGGCAGGCTGTGCTGTGGAGGATCTGACACTGCCCAAGAGGTGGTAATCGCTTCCAGGGGACTCTGGGCTGAAGCCCTGTCCCCAGGGCAGCTGGGCTGAGCCCCATGCTGGAACGTGCCCCTGGCACAAGCAAAGAGGAAGGCAGTGGAGAAACTGGGTTTGCCTCTCCAGGAACCAGCCCCTGCCCAACGACCAGACCCAGTTGCTGCGGGTCTTGGAAGGAGGTGGTGCAAGGTGGGTGGTTTCCAGCTGGAGCACCCAGAGCAGAGACCAGGAGTAGGGTGAGGGTCTGAGGAGCTGGATGGCAGCTCAGGGCATCCAGGTTGCCTACCTAGAATCCAATAAAAAAAAACACCAATGTGAATTCCAACCAGCTCTGAGGCATGCTTTCCAAGGGTGGGCGTGGCAGGCTATGCTCATAGGGGGCTGCCAGTGGGGCAGTGGTAGCAGCCAAGCCAAGGAGATGGACTTGAATGCCACCACTCCACCGAATGGCACAGTCCAAAGTAAGAACTCTGCCTCTGTTCCTGATTTAGCAGGCTTTGAAATTCATTTGGTCCCATGAATCCATCTCCTCAGTGGAGCCTCACAATCACTAGCCATCACCTTCCTCATTGTATGGATGGGGACTCTGAGGCTCAGAGAGGTTCAGTAACTTGCCCCAATTCCTCCAGCAGGTAAGTGGCAGAGCAGGGCTGTGAACGTGGATGTGGCTCCAGTCCTCTGAGCTAAGCCACAAGATCCCAGGTATCAGATTGTACTCTACTGTTACTGGCACTTCTGGTCTGGAGGGAACGAGCAGGAAGCCTGGTTTGGTCTGCTCTGGTAGTGGACACAGCCTTGAAAAAGTCCTCCCAATGAGCCGGAGGTGGCCACCACCATCTCTGCCTCCCACACTGAGAATGAGCCCCGTCATGCACAGGTAGCCCAGAAGGTACACAGGACTAAGACAGCTGGGGCCTGCTGGAGAAAAAAGGAAATGAAGGTACCAGAGTCTTGGATTGGGCCCAGGCATCAGAATTGTGAACAGTCTCCCTGAGGGTCTCACGAGAAGGGGGTTGCTGTAGCAAGCTCATTTTGAGAAATCCAGCAGCCTAATGCCCGCCTTCTTAGAGGCTCTGGATGGGGGAGTAGTGGGGACACAGACCGGCCAAAGCTGCCTGTCTTACAGTAGGAGGGAAGGAGCCCCTTTCAGAGGCATCCTTCCCTTCCCCTCCACAGGTTCCTGTTCTCAGAAGTCAGGGGCCATTGCTGCTTGCCAAGCACCTATTACTGGCAAGACAGTGTCACTGTTGTCAGGCAGGCACTAGGGTGGCAGGTGAACTGGGCACTCGGCAGGCCATGGATTGGTCAGTGGGCAGCTTTTGATCCACTCCAGTGGACGTCGCCCTGCCTCCTGGGGGCCTTGGCTGAGGGGTTGCTGGAGACTTCAGGCTATGGGAGGGGTCATTTAGTGTGACCTCCTTATCTCACAGATGAGGTTGCAGCTGAGGGCAGGAGATGTCTTACTTGCCCAAAGTCCCCACTGAGTATGGCCAAGCCCTTACCAGGGCACATGCAACATGCCTGGCACCAGGGAGTGGGCTGCCAGGCTGAAGGCCATCTGGTCTGGCCTTCTGCCTCCAGCCTCCTCCTCCAGGAGCTGCTCAGCAAGGACAGATGAGATAGCTGTCCTCTCCAGGGCTAGCTACGTGGAGGCCAAGAAGCCAGAGCCCTCTCAGATCTGGAGGTACAACTCCCAGTTTCCAGCCTCCCTCTTTCCAGAAGATTCTGGGATGCCAGCTGGAGTATCTGTTTGACTTCCAGCCTTGAGACCCGACTCCCACGTGCTGCCTGTCACGGAGCCTCTGGAAACAAAAGGCGAGAGGACTAGATTCTCCTGCCCACCCTCCAGCAAATGCCCTGGGTGCTGGGCCACACAGGGAATGGAGGTCAGACCCCCTGGATAAGAGGCAGGTGAGGGCTCCCCTGTTGTATACTGGATCCTGCCTGTGACGGGACATAGTCCCCTACATTTGCAAAGCAATAGCAACCTCACCTTGGCACAAGCTTGAGAATCTTCACCTGGTGCCAAGACTGGCCTACAAAATGCAAAGAGATGTGATGGTGGTGCCCTCTGGAGGCTAGTCTGGAGAATACACCTTTTAATGAGGACTCACTCAACTGCCCTCAAGTGGGATCTGACTGATAGCAGCCCCTCCTTGGGTTTCTGAGGCATTCTAAGCTGGTGGGCGCCCTAGGCAGCACCCTATGGCCCCTGCTTGGAGTCTGAGAAAATACCCAGAGCTTAGTGTAGGTGATGCTTGCTGGCAAGTCACTGGCACTCCTGGGTCCTGATGCTTCGGGATTCTGCAGCCCCTGTGGTCTGCAGCCCCGGCCTGCCCAGGGCCTCACATAGGACACTGGTGATGGCTACGGCACACTCTTACTTAAGCATGTGCTAACTTTACATGAGTTTTCTCAGTCACTCCTCACAGCTCCACCATTTTACAAATGAGGAAACTGAGCTCACAGAGATGACACGACTTCGAAAGCTAGGAAGTGCACGCCGTAAGCATGGCAGGTGCTCTCTAGAGCCTTTTACTTTCCACAGTCATTCCTTTGAATTACCTTCCTGGTCCTGATAATCCCTGACACTATCCCCAGGGCCCCCATGAACCAGCAGGGCTGACAGTGCACCTCTGAGACATAATCCATGTTTCAGGACCATTAGGACCCCTTTCAAACTAGATAAGGCATTCGAGCTGCTAATGGAGGCAGTGAATGGATATAACTCTGAACGGAGCCCTGTTTTCATGGTCCCAGCCCCTTAAGTGGTGACAGTGTAAGGTCAGGTGTCAGCCATTGCACAGATCCTCACTGAGCATCTACTCTCAAGTGGGTGCCAGGCACTGTTTTAGGTGTTGGAGATGATATATCAGATGATACATCAAATTCCTGCCCTCATGGAGCTGACCTTCTCCTGGGGGAGATGGAGGCTTAACAAATGAATAAAATACAGGGTGTGTCAGAGGAGATAAAACTATGGAGAAAAAAGGGGCTGTGAGTGAGTGAGGTGTGCAGTTTTAAACAGATGAGAAGGCATGTGAGCAATGGCCTGGACGAGGTGAGGAAGGTAGCCTGTGGCCTTGGGGAAGAATGGAGGGAATAGCAAGACCTTGAGATGGGAGCAGGCAAGTGTGTCTGAGGAATAAGAAGGCCACGCCTAGGAAGGAAAACTGGGGAATCTACTTCTGTAGAGATACTGCCTTGGAAACCCAAGGATGGTCTGTTTTTTTATGATGTTGAAGAAGAGTAAGGGGGAGGGGGTAGAGGTGAGGCTTGAAAGGTGACTGAGGCCCCATGTAGAGCCTTCTAGACCACTGGCCTTGTTAGTTGCTGTCAAGTTGATTCTGACTCATGGTGATCTCCATATGTTATAAAGCAGAACTGCTTCAGAGAGTTTTCTTGACTGTAATCTTAATGGAAGCAGATTGCCAGGTCTTTCTCCTGGCAACCTTTAGGCTAGCAAACCAAACCATCTGAGTGGATTCCCGCTCACAGTGATCCCCATTGGGTTTCCGAGGTGGTAGATATTGATGGCAGTAGCTTGCCCCATCTTTCTTCCGTGGAGTGGCTGATGGGTTTGAACTGCTGATTTTCTGGTTAACAGTCAAATGCCTTAGGCACTGTGCCACTACAGCTTCTTTTTAGGCTAGCAGTCAAGCCCAAATTGCACCATGTAGGGATCCTGAGGAGTCAAGTTTTCACTCAGAGTGTCCTGGTCTTGAGTTTAAAACCTCAGAAGGGTTCTAACAAGTTCCTTCTGGCTTCGGTGGAACTAGATGTTATTATGGGGTGGAGGGCAGAAGCAGAGAGACCATTCATGCAGATGGGAGGGGAGACTGCCCATCTGGATGTAGGTTGGGTGTCTGTGGAAGTCTCTGATAAGTGCCTCTTTGTTCTCAGGAAACATCTATGTTCTCAGGGACCAACTGAGAGTGAAGAGTGAGGATGAGGATGGGGTTGGAGGGCTGAGGTGAGGAGGGAATGGTGAAGTAGTGATTTCAGAGGAGGAACAAGGCTACATGAGGGCAGCACCTGCGCCTTCCGGGTAGCACCAAGTTCTTAGCTTCCAAAAACTGAACCAAACTCACTGCAGTCGAGTGGCACCCAACTCATAGCGACCCCTCCTTTCCGAGATGGTATCTCTATGGAACTAGATTGCCCAGTCTTCCTTCCCAGGAGTGGCTGGTGGGTTTGAGTGCCAGCCTTCTGGTTAACAGTTAACTGCCTTAGGCACTACACCACCAGAGCTCCCAGTTCTTACCTTACAGGCATACATTTTGGTGAGACCAGTCAGCATGGTCAGGTGTTTTTCCTGCCACCTTCAGCTACATGGATGCAGAGTCAGAGCAGGGGAGAGTTGGACTTAATCAAGTAGGAGTTTCTTTGTTTATTTAAAATATTTTATTGTGTTTTCTGTGAAACTTTATATAGCAAATTAGGTTCCTATGTGACAATTTCTATATAAATTGTTCAGTGACATTAGTTCCATTTTTCACAAGGTTTCAACATTATTTTTTAAAAAAAACAAAAACATTTTCTTGTAATTTAGGTGAAAATTTACATGGCAGTTTTCCCAAACAATAGTTTCTACACAAATCGTTCCATGACACTGGCTGCAGTCCCCACAATGTGTCAGCCCCTTCCCTGTGTCTTCTCTGGGTTCCCCGTTTCCACCCGAACATTCTCTTTAACTACTTTCTGGTGGTTCTGTTTCTAGTACTCTACTTACTCTGCTCCCTTCTGTCTCTTCTTTGCTTTAGGGTAACTGTTGACCTTTTGGTCTCATATCAATTTTTTTTTTTTTTCTAATGGAGCACTGTACTCACAGGGGAGCTCTGCTGGGGCAGTGGTTAAAGCATTGGGCTGCTAACCAAAAAGGTCACTGGTTTGAACCCATCAGCTGCTCCGTGAGAGAAAGATGAGGCAATCTGCTTCTGTAAA